GCATCCTAGAGGAAACTTGTCAATTCATTATCATTTTATATCTCAAAACCAAGAGTGAGTTATACATCCTCCAGCTGCTCAACCTGACTCTCAGCTCTGGCCTCAGCCAAGTTGCAGTGTTTGTTTCCCATATAAGAATAACATTTGCTGCACCTGTTATTGTATGATGTATGGTCCGTATGACACGTGTGTGACAACGTATGTGTGATCTCTGCAAAAGGTATGAGACTTTAACAGAAGCCACTGTGATCAAATCATCAGACGACAGAGCAGCAAAAACTACCGTAAGCTGCATTACCAAAAAGTGCCAGCAAGGATTGTAGAGCAAAGTGCATGGTCCTCCTGTTTGCTTGTTTCCCAGTTTTCAGAATCACCTCCTCCTGGCCAACTTCACAAAGGTCAAAACCTGTAGCGGAATAGGTAGCAGAAAATCACACCTCATAGAAGGATCCAATGTCTTAAACAAGTGTGATCTCATTTGTAACACAAATAAAACAGAGACAGGAGATCCTGCAGTGTCCTGGCGTGATGACTCTTCACCTACTACAGTTTGTGGTTTTTTGTTTATCACTCTTTAGCACGCTTTCTCCAGCAGGTGTTGGGAGCTTTATGGTGCTGGACTGTCTCTTGGATGTTTCTTCTCGCAGCACTGCCTCTCCCCTCCAATGCCTTTTTACTAACTCTAAGCAGGGTCCAAGCCAGAACAAGATCTAGTTTGGCATTTAGTTTTCACTTGCCTTTTCTGCAGGATGCAATCACCCTGGTACATACTACCACTATGGTACGTCCTGCCCTTGCCCAGCGCACAAGTTTCCCTCCCAAAGGAATGATTAGTTCACTTCAGGTAGAAGGCCAGGAGCAAACTAAAGTATGTGTTACAAACAAGAAGTGAACAGGATCCTAAAATAAAGACAGGACCAAGCTGCTGTCAGCCCTGAAATACACGTTCTGCTGACTCAGTGGATGTTTTGGCACATGACAGAAAACTGCACCAGGCCACCGGCCAGCCAGCGAGCAACAGAGCTCAGTGTGTGGGAACTGGCAGAGACACATCGAGCAGTCACAGGTCACATTCAGAGATGCAAAGGTCAAACAGCACCCAGGCAAACGAATCTAAAGCTATGAGTCTTGTGACTACTTTGAGGCACCATGAGACGCTAGCAGTAGTTTTAGAAAGGCAATGGAAAGAAGTGTTTTCCTACCTAGAGCTGCCAGAAACTCATGACAGCCAGGTAGCCTCCAGAGTTGGACACTGATCGAGACCTGGATTGGTGCAGAGGAGAAATCTTGCTCCTTCTCGCCTGCCTGAAGTTGAACCAGGACTTGATGCAGCTGAAGAAAGCGATACAAATGTTAGTTACTTCTTACAAATGCATTTCTGCTTTTCCAACAGTTACAGCTATGGAAATGCACTGCAAACATCCTTCTCCCTGTTACACCCACACATTCAGCTGCTGCTCCGGAATAGAACCGAGAGATGAAAAGCTGTAGGGCAAAGGGACAGTCCAGGGACAGCCACGATGGACAGACCTGAACAGCAGCAAAGGCAGGGACAGGACAGGGGTGAGGGTTGGGGGGTGTGGCCAGTGGAAACTGAGCTAGAAGAAAGCACAGGAGGAAAATTTGTGAGGCAAAAGAAAAAGAAAGAGACACTTTGGGGCTGCTCACAGAAATACACTAAAGCCCATTCTATGACTAAGCCATGCTCCTTATGCAAATCCCCAGAAACTCATTCTCCGCATTTAACTGGGCATTTAACTGGGCAGGACAAGTCTTATGAAACCACGGAAGACTTTCCCAATACCTCCATGGTCTCCAGGGAAGAAGTTTCTCAACTGTGTCCAAGGGACACGAGTAGCAAAGTACAGAAAAAATACATTTATGAAGATCTCATACAAATTAAGATACCAGGATATCACGTAGTTCAAACTCATAGCCAAGGCAGGAAGGACAGGAAGTTGTTACTCTGGGACCAGCTACTCAGGACCACCCATGTCCTACAACCCACAAAATCTCACACAGACTTTTTTCCACAGTGGCACCACGGAGCAAATTCCAGTCCTGAAAGTGGCTTGAAGACGCTTTGCAGCGCGGCAAAATGGGCCTGCAGTGACCAAGGCTTTTTATCATTCCCCAGCGCATGTAATACTCACCATTCCCACCATATTTTTAACAGCCTTCGGGCAGCAGATACCAAGAAAGGAGAGGAGAAAACAAAGAAAGAACACAGGTTAATCTGTGCTACAAAACGCCTGTGATGGGGAACCCTGCAGCGACACATCCGCATGCAAACCAGCATCCTGAATGCACAATGCTCTCTCCAGAGAAAAAAGGGAGGAACAGAAATGGCCTGAGCTGCCAAACAGGAGTCCAGCAGCACAGGAACAGGCAGCTGGAATCTGGGAGTGCTCAGCTCATTGCAGTCAGCTCAGACGCTTAGCAGGTGGATACCCAGGCCAGCCTGCATGCTGGCAGAAGGCTGAACACAAAACAAGCCCCTCTCTTGTTTTCTGTGGGATACGTTACTAGTACTTAATGCAGTCAGCAACCCCTGGCTTTTCTTTGCACATGCGCTAGTACTGAAGTTCTCTCGTCTGCGGTTCCTACCTTCTGTTACGCCCTAAACCCAAGCATCTTCTATGCAGGACAAGAGATGAGGTCCCTGCCCTGAGGCTTCACTACTGCCAAGAGCACCTGTTTCCTCACAACACCACCACCTGCACGGGCCAGGCAGTACGCAGCACCCGCTGAGGGAGCTGTCGGTCATCCGCTGCAGTTCTGAACAAAGTCGTCTTGCTCTGGGACAGGCAGAGCCTGAGCTGCTCACCAGAGCGGAAGAAAGCAAGGAACCACAAGGGAAGGGAAAGCTACGCTGAAGAACCTTCACCTGTAACTGGACCGATCCTCGTGCAAAAGGAAATTCTGCCCGGGGTTTGGGCTACAGAAGAACGTTCGCAAAAACGATGCAATACCCCTGCCAATATTTACTGCATGAGGCAGCTGAGGAAATGGCAAGTGCATCTTTCGTTAGTTCTGTACAGCCATGTGAATTTTCTTCCTTCAGTGATTTAACTGGCTGAGGCAAGAAGACAGCTATGGTCTCAGGGACACTAACTCATTCCGACCTGTGGGAATACTGTCTTCCCGTCATCACTTCCCCTCGACTCCGGGCCTCCCCCTGGCGGCAGCGAGGACAAAGTAATCCTGCTATTCAACCGCAGAAGTCTTGGGCCCTGACAAAAGACCCAGGGCAAGAAAGCAAAATGCCATAACGGACAAGGCATCAGGAATATCTCATGTGCTACCGCAGACCAGAACAAGAAACCTTTTTCTTGAAGCAGACTCAGCCTAAAGAAGTGACAAAACCGGCTTCTTAGTGGGTAACAGCTTCTTAGTGGGGCTCTCACTTTGCCTTCTGCATGGAGCCTCGGCATGGTAAAATGATGGGGAGCTCTCTGAGGTTACACAAAGACAATCCCAGCTACCTGCCACAGTACTTCCCCAGAACACTTCTGCATGGGGAAAGGGGAAAAAAGTGAGCTGTATGCCCATTCACTGTGTGCAGCGTGCTTATCTATTAACGCAGGCAAATGATTAAGATAAGCCTCATCGGAGGAGCAATCAGGACAGTAAGAAACACATAAGGGAAAGCCAGCCAGGCTGGTGACACAGAGGAGGGCTGGGTTAGGCGAGGCATGCTAGAAAGGCTGGGGAGAGGGAGGAATGTGAAGGAGACTGGGGGAGCAGGGAGCAGCCCCGCAGCCACAGGTGGCACGTGCACCCTCTGAGCAGGGCTGTGGGTGTGCACGCCAGGAGAAGCACAGGCTCAGCCGACCTGCATTGCCCCAAGACCTTGGGACTTCGGTAATTACAGAGGACAAAGACCAGCCAACATGGGCCCAGGACAGGATGGCCAAGCAGCAATTCGTGGTTCTGCCACTTGTTTCCCATATTCGGCTTCCCCTTCACCGCAGTAGGCGTCATGTTTTCACCTCTATGTTTTCACCTCTGTCACTGAACAGGAGGATCCAAGGCCACGCAGCCCAGGAACATACCCGCATTTTTATCTTCTGAACACACACTTTCATTCACATAAACGGGCATGTTTAGAATTTCAAAGCTGAGGTCTCCTAGCATGCTCTGGATTGATAAACCAAGGCATAAACCATTTTGTGTATTTCTGACTTTACTGACCTGGGATGAACAATTTGGAAACTGGTACTGGTACTCACCCTGTTGATCAGCTGTTCTCCTGTTTCTGAAGCTGTGATAAGTTTACAAAGTGCCTGAAGTGCAGAGTTAGGCAAACCTGAAAAACATCAGCAGAAATGGGGATTATTCAGTATCTGTTTCTTGACTGCTAGAAATGCAACATCCTCAAAGGAACACTAACTCAGCTAATTCCTAAAATCTCTGCCCCACATCACTGAACAGTTCTGGAAGCCGCAGCCACTTCCAGAAAGCAAAAGGTTCTCCTGTCTTTGCATCTGATTATACATTTTCTGACTGAGAGCTGCCAGAATGGAATAGTCACATGATGCTTCTCAGACACTGGACCCCGTAGTAAATGATTCTCATCTGTGGCAAAATTTTCAGTAAACATTGACTTCTAGAACCTCTACCTTGTTCAATACTTTTGTTTCACTGGTGTGAAACATCACTGGTTTACAGGCCTGCAGCAAAGAAAGGCAGGGACAGGTTGATGTCTGCTGGCCTGCTTCTTACCTAGGAGGGACTGGATGGTGGTGCTGCACTGCTGCAGCCGGTCCCCGGGGTCAGCAGTGGGGAAGAACACGGCTGCCGGGAGGCCGCTGGCTGGAGGGTCCAAGCGGAATCCAACCGCAGTGAGCAGCGCCTGCCAGCCTGGAATGCCACCAACTTTATTCTCCACACTTTGTTGGGAGGTATACATGGAGTTGTGCTGCCCATTCTGGATTCGCTGCAATGATTTCTCCACCTTTGGGGAAAATACAGCATTAGCTTGTCTTGTAAGAGATTTTTACTAACTGCCACTTTTTACAGAAGGATGACAGTGCCCTTGAAAACAGAGGCTCCAGGAAGTCAGCACTCACAGCTGTAAAATCGCTGTGATGAGCGTCAATATTCTCTGGGATGCTGAAGGAAGTAAGGCCACAGGAAGCCAAGTACCAGTTTAACTGTGAAAGCTTCCTACAAGCCTGGAAGCTGCACTTCTCCCCATACGCTGTATGGTAAGCAGTAAAGAGAGATGTGTGTCCCCAAAACCCAGCAACTGGGATCACCAGCAATATTCATAGGTTTCCATTGTCCTATGGCTACTCCACATTCCTGTGGGACCACAGAAGACATATTGGAAGAAAAGGTATTAGAAGTCATAAGATTATTGTAGCCATCTGGCAGTCTGGCTTGAGTCCTACTGCTTCCCACAACAGGCTACTGGCATGTTTGGGGACCAGAGTGCCTCTTACCTTCCAAGCATGCAAAGAGACAGCAACCCCAGTGCTCTGCGTCTCCACGACTGCAACGCTCATAGCTATTTGCTTGTAGAAATCCCAACGATTATCTCATTTTTAAAGTAGAGATCCAATTCAACAGCTAATGCAAACCAGATGGGTCTGGGGAGGATTTTGTCAAAATATAATGTAAGACTTCACTTACTTTGCCTTGTTTTGCTATGGACACTTGAAGTGCCCCAGTCTTTTCACACTGACTCATAGTTTTCACAAGAAACTGCCTCATGGTGAGGGAGAAGGGTTGAAGGTAAACATTTGGGTGGGAGTAGCTACATAGGGGCGTTTCTCTTCCTATCCATCGTTTACAGGTGCGCACTCACAGGTAACATTACCTCACGACCAGACGGGCTGCACCGCCCCAACCTGTGCCTGCCCAGGGCGATGGTGTTTCCCTCCTCTTACCAGATGTAGCAGGACACGAAGAGCATCTCGTGCCCTTTCAGGGTGCTGCAGAATCTCAGTCAGGGCCTGTCCCACTAGTGAAGAAGGGCTGTTCAGCTTCATGTCACTCCCAATAAGCATAAAGCCTGCAGGATTCAGAATGAGAGACACTCAATCTCCTGCTGTTACAGAAAAGGTTCACAACAGAAGCAGGTATCCTCTGCCCTCTCAGACTAACGAGTCACCCTGCAGAGTGATATTCTTATCCCAGAGCAGCTGCCCGATCTCTGCCTGGTCCCATAGACTGAACTTCCAGAAAGCTTCTAGATGCTTCATCCTGTCCTCGCCTACTAAATAAATAGTGTTTTGCTGTTCAAGCAAGTGGAAAAACACTGTGCGGCAGCTAAACATGTCCTAGCATGCTCCATGTCTCCCTTACAGTAGTGGAAATCAATAGACGCTAAACAGGGCTTGCAGACACAGAACTCGGGAAACAGAGAGCTTGCCCTGTCTTGGTCAGAACCCATCTTGGCTTACGCACCATCGAACGCCAGATTCTCCAAATGTCAGCACAAGGAGCTCTGCCTGCCCCTGCTCATCCATTGCAGTGAGGTATGTGGCTGCAGCCCTCGCCCTCGTGCTCTGCCCAAGACTCATCATCGGGAGTAAGGGGCAGTACCAAGATACTGAGAGCAGCTGGAAGCTTCTGCTTGTTGGTGATGCCACACACACCTGTCCACGCTCACTCTGTTTTGGGTTTTTTTTTTTCTTGTTTTTCAAAGACTCTTTCCTTTTGAGACAGAAAAATCGTAGAAGGAAAATAAAGGACGAACTGAACTGTGGACTGTGACCTAAACTCAGCTCCCATCCTGTATTGCCTGAATCACATCCCAATGCTTGCCTCAACATGCCTGAAATCCCTCTGTCAGACTAACTCCAAGCACTCACTGTAACAAGCTCTAGTGAGTTTCCTGTTCCTCCAACTCTGTACAGTTTATATCGGAGCCATGCTCACAGCAGCTTCCTGATCAACAAAATGGTACTGCTGCCTGTGCAAAAAAAATGCATTTGAAGAATGCCTGCAGCTGGGAAAAAAATATTTCAAATTATTTCTACATGCCCCTGTAACCATACTTTGAACTCCAAGACTTTTTCTGAATTTCAACTCGCTGTCCCTGCCCATGGCAGGAGGTTGGATTAGATGATTTGTGACGTTCCTTCCAACCTAAGCCATTCTGTGATTCTATGGTCTAACTGAGGGAGCAAGCACAGCACTCCACCACGGAGCTTACACTGCTGAGACACTTCCAGTGGAAGCAGTGGAAACCCTTCTCCTGAAAGGACCAAAGGAGTAAGCCCTGCAAGGTTTATGTCACAGAAATCATAGCTATTGGTTGCTTCCTGAAGCAACTACTTTTCCAGAGGTACTACTCTTGTCTCCTCGTTAGAGTTTCACTAAATTCTCAGTAAATCTGTACCAGCTAACTCCAGCCCAAGTACACAGGAAACGTGACACAAGGAATGAGTTACCACATTGCACATTATTTCTTCCCAGGCATGAACTCCCTGTGATGAAACACACTTTGCCTCACAATTACTTTAAATTATGCCAAATTCCTAATCCACTTATTGTACATAGTGAAATATCGATGTTTTCCATGACACTGACATTCAGCCACACTCAGCTGAACCAGGGTCTAAATTCTGGGAGAGGACAGGGCACGTGCTGCTCCCAACCCCCTGCTGGCACCCCTCCTTGCTTAACTCAATTCGCTACAGGAGTGCTTCGTAGCTAACGTTCTGTGATTCTGTAGAAACCCTGTCTCATTTGTGAAAAAGCAGACCCCTCCTACCTGCCCAGTTGGAGGGATGGGAGAACTGCTTGCTGCTCTGCACAGTTTTCATCGCTTCTCCAAGGGCTGCGCTGGCTTTCATCCCATTTAAGAGGGAGGAATAGAAGGCATGCACAAACATTTTGGAAGCAGCCACAGGAACAGGCCACAGCGACACGAGGACACACTGGGCCCCAGCAGCCAGGAACGCTCTTGTCAGGCCAATGACTCCATCAGCGGTGACTTTGCTGTTGGATTCCTGGTAAGAGCCAAGAATCACTAATTTGACAGGAAGCCGCAGGTCCAGGACATCAGCTGCTGTAAGCAGAAACTCCTGAAGAGGAGGGCAGTCCGAGATGCTCTCCACATCACTGGCATCATCCTGCATCCGAAGGGATTCTGGGATTGTGTAGGGGTTCCCAAAGGAACTCTTGCTGCTGGCTGGGTTGCTGTCAGTGTTGGGTGTCAGGACCAAAGCAGCCAGTTTCCAGGAGACGTGGGTTGCAAAATGGACACATTCTGCCTGAGTGAGGGCACTCATGACCCTCTCTTTCGTTGCTGCACTGCCAACTAAGGGCTGGCAGCCAAGTAACTCAGACACCATATATGCTTCCTCCTCTGCAGAGGGCATAGGTCCCCAGAGCCACCGGTCCATAACTGCTGAAGGGAGCTTGGGATTTCCTATGACGGCTGCCATTGAGGTAGAACTGGAGTAAGCAGGAGTACTCTTCCTCACATGAGACTACGGAGAGAAAGAGAAAATGGAATTCAAAGATCTGCTTGCTACGGTGCTGGTAATAAAACACCTTATCTCTTTGGCTCTAAACAGAAGTCTGTTTGTCATAATCACAAAAATTTTGCCCTTTTTTTAGTTTCTTTCACTCAACTACTCCAAGGAAACATCTCCACTTGAGTCTGGGCAGGATTTCTATCCCCACATCTCAGGTGAATGGACAGGTAAGAAGAGAAAGCAACAGACTTAGACCAAGTTTCTTTGAGGGCCTCAGCAGAGCTAAAAGCATAAAGAAGATCCCAGCTGACCTCCTTACGGGAAAACAACTTGTAATCACTCCCTAAGATGTTCCTCACACCTGTATCTCACAGGTCAGGATCACCACCGCCAGCAGCAGGGTGCTGCACGCCACTGACCACTGGGCCTGGTACCCAGCAGAGAAGCCCAAGTCCCGCAGCAGTAACGCTCACAGAGATCAGACCCCTTTGCTGCTCCAGGGACTGCTTTTAACCCAGTGCAAGCCACGACACGCAGCAGAACACCGCTCAGCAAGAGCGGATGTGGCTTAGGGCATTCTGCCTGGAGACCTAGGCCTTAGAAATGCTGATGCTAAACATCAGCATGAAGATACTTCTGCAGGACTTGCCTGCGGTATTCGCTTTGCAAATGGCTTCAGTTTCACAAGATGTTAGCAGCCTTCTCCACACAGAAGACTAAAACCTAAGTAAACATACCAGAGAGGTGTAGGAGAGTCAGCTCGCTGAGGAAGCTCAGTATAGGTGACAAACACTGCATTTCTGCAGTCTGTCACCCCACACCCCAGGACGTGCTGTCTTTAGATGAGGATATCCAAACAGTCCGTTCCCCTTGTCCTTCCTGGCATGCCTGGGGCCACGATTTTGTGCCGTAGGAACTATGTCAGAATGTACTTCACAGCTCTGGCACTCAACACGCACATCAGAACTGCGAGGAAGGTACATTTGGGGTTTCTGTTCTCGCGTCAGGTGTGGCAGGGCAGAGCTGCTGCTTCTCTAGCATAGCCTGTACAGGAACCTGCACCCCACAGGAGAGGTTCCAGCAGAGACACTTTGTAAGGCAATGTCTGACCTTGGAGCTGGGATTCAGCGACTGGATGGACGGGACTGCAATGAGGCTGAAGCGCTCATAGAGGTACTCATTGGAGGAACTGCCCTTCAGGAGAGCAAAAGGAATGAGGTACAATTCTCCCTCCAGAACCAGTATCAGCTGGCGGTGGCGGCCGACAGGCCCGCTGGAATGCATCAGACCCTGGAAAGAAGAGAGGGAATCAGTGTGGCCCTTTCACTCCACCAGTGCCCCAGCCTGCACCTTCCCCTGCACGCACCGGGCTCTAGTCCAAGCCCACGTTACACTCCACATGAACATAACGCAGCGACAGGTGAACGCACGTCGGCACCGGACAGACCGACAGAGCGGGTGGACTGTTGCTCACCTCTGCACAAACGGTCCCACTGAGAGGAACGCGCCCAGGGCGCGCTGACGCGCTGTGCAGATGGGAGTCGTCGCAGTCAGCCTCAGTGCAGCACAGTAACTCCTCCTGCTCCTGCATAACGCCTCTGCTAACCCAACCACCCACGTCTTGTCAATATTATCATCCCCTCATCCTTCGAAAGAGAACACTTTTTCTGGTACTCAATTTCAAAATAGTGATTTCCTATATAAAAGCAAACAATCCAGAGACAGACTGTGTCTATATGGCCTGCACTTCAAGACACTTGAGATTGTCACAAATTAATCTAAATAGAAAGTATCTCAAGGTTGGAGAAACGAGGCAGAGAGATTAATAAATCAAGAACATATAGCTCAGCACAAACAGTGGCAATTGCTCCTGGTCCCGTGTAACCGTGGAGGTTTCACTCTTATTTAAATAATGCATTGTAAAAATGATTAGTTATCGCCCCAGGAAAGAGTAACTTCAAAGCAATGAAATTTGCTCCAGCTTAAACACTTGCAGCACACAAAAAGTCTATGGGACTCTCATGCAAAATAGCAGTAAAATTCTAAGCAACTCTACACGTTTAAGCCAGGGTAGCAGCCACAGCTTGGCCTAGCAAATAAACCATTTATTTGAAGATGAAACTTTTAGCACAAGCTTGGATGACACAGTTTTGGAGATAACCTGTTCAACCAGTGTTGTTCTATTTCTGTCCAGACTGCCCGATGTTGCCAAAGGCACGCTAACAGCGCAGTGTTCCCTGCCAGAGAGAGACAAGGACCGAGCACGCAGGACTAGACTCTTGTCTCTAGCTTCTCAATTCTTTTCATTTGAAGCCATTTTAATTACCATCAGATGTAGCAAACATCTGCTTTGACAGGAGAAAAACAGCTACTCAGGCTGCTCAGCAAACGAAGACAAAACTGCCTGACTCTGCTCCGAGTGGATTTCTGAACTAACTTCCAACGACTCCAAATACAACCTCTTCCTAACACAAATTCTGCGACTTCAACGGAACAGCAGTTAAGGAAGCATATTTTTCAAACACATGGCTTCCATTTCATAAATAATAACAACCAAGACCTCTGAGGTGCTAGCTAAATACATTTCTGGAAGAAATAACATCCAGGTTCTAGTCTTTTCTGTTATTTATCAAACATTACTCCCCTTAATACTTCTGCTTTAGAGCACGCTTCTTTCAGGCGAGTCCCCATTTAACAGGGGACAGAGAAGAATTTTCTTGCTTTCAGTGCCAGCAGTGAATGACTACTACAAAACGTCTAATGGAGACAGATTTTTGAAACAACAGGGGAGCAGAAGCAATGTCAGAAAATCCTGAACTGTGCTCATGTCAGATAACTGGACAATGCAACAGAAAAGAAAGGGATATTGTGCATTTTGTGAGTGAGTACTGCTACTTGTGTGAAGTTTATATATAGAGCGCAGACAAATGCACCCTGGTCCTAACACACAATTCTTCCTCTCCACCTTGCTCAGGGTCTGTCTGGAGCAGACTTCCAGACTGCGCTGTGATGCACTGAGAGCTGATGATTAATTTGAGATGTACTGACCCCATCTGACCAGAAATCAAACAACAAGAGAAATTCGCAGTCTCAAGCCTTAGTTCTCAGGCAGCACCAAAGATAAATGAACATTATTAAAGAAAAAGTAAAATCAGTCTGGCGATCTCCTCCAAAGGGAGCCTGGAGCAAGTCAGAAATATAAAAAAACCAGGTCAGCTACGAGGGAGAATGTCAAAGCGTAGAAAGCTGAAGAGAGACAGTGAGGTGCTTTTAAAGGCTTCTTGCCATTTGACGTGGGAAGAAAACTGCTGAAGGATAAGAAAATTTTCATTTAAAAGGAGTTAAAAATAGTGGCTGACCTCTTGCTGCTTCTCATCCTTACAGCTCTGAAGCTCACCCTGCCCACAGACCGCAGCCGGAGATGCAGGGCAGGCTCTGACACACAGACGACTCGGGAGCCTTCCCGCGAACCCGCTCTGCTCGGGCTGACGCGCCGTTTACATCCCACCAGCCCCGGGGGGGGCCTCCCCGGCACTCGCTGCCTGGGGTGAACCAGCACGCGTGCCCTGCAGCTAAATTTACCAGTCTCCGCTCAGCCGTGCCTCCTTCTGCAGAGCTCGAGTTGACAAGCAGCAGCTTCCCAGCAGGGCAGCCGCTGCTTTCCAGAAATGGTTCTTTTTTTTTTGGTTTTGTTTTTCTGTTTGTTTGTTTTAACATATATTCCATTTTACTCACTGCTCCAGGAGCTTTAGCTGTCAGAAACAGAAGCAGAGCATCTGATCCAGGGCGACGTGTGCCTAGCAGAATTTTTAATTTGTATGTAAAACCTCTAGAGTTTAATATTTTGGTTGTCTTCATGATGGCTGTACGTGCATTACAGAAACATAAATAAAACTATGAGGATCATCTCCATTTTGTATGTCTTCAAGAATTAATTGTAGGGTGAATTCTAACAAAAAGAACATCTTCAGCAAGAAAAAGGAGAAAAACATGAACAGCCAAGCACAGGAACATGGGTTCTACTTCACAGCAATGGTACCGGCTACACTGGTGATTTGTCATAAAGGCAGAAAAGTCTCTGGTCCCTCACTCGTGAGGAGCATGGGGGTGCAGGGTTAGGCTGGCTCACAGCTGGTGGCTGCCATGGATCCCTCACTGGCAGCTACTGTTGCTATAACTGGAAGTTTCTGTTACAATGGGATCGCCAAACCACACACAAGACCTGAGCTGCATCTTCTTGGAAAGTGGGTAGTGAGGACCCCGTATCTCCCATTCTGCCACTCTCCAAAAGCCCTGTCAAGCCCTAAAGTAACCTCCTGGAGCCAACCATGGGCCTCAGACACCCAGGTCAGTGGTGCTGCTGGGCTCCTGCTGCTGCTTCTTCTGTCCCCTGGCCTCTTTGTCCCTAGGCAGAGCTGCCGAGTTTGTGCATTAGTATTAGTGAATTAAGGATATACTTCCTGCTTTGGTTCATCAAAAGCATTATACTTTGGTAGCTGACTGGAATCAGCCTGTTTCCACCTCCCAACACACCCAGTCCTACCATCAAGGCAGATCATGTGCAAACCACCACACTTCAGATACAATCCCCAAGCAGCCTATCCTTGCTTTCCCACACTGACAGGTTATTTTGGTAAACGCATCTCTACTTTTTTTCTATGTCAAAGACTCACTCCCTCCATAGGTCCTATCAATAAGTCGTAGAGCGCACGGAGTGGGGGTTTGGCGAAGGAAGTCTGCCTCCTTGGGAGAGATGATGTTCCATCCTTAACAGGAGACACGGTACTGCTGAACAGACTGGTCATGCTCTGGCAGCTCCTGTAGGCAAAAGGCAAGTGAAACGTTAGTTGCAGAAATCCGAGGTTCGCTGCAGTTTGCCCTGACTTCCTAACAGTGACGATGAGCCAGTCCCTGTCCAAACAGAGGACTGTTCTCCAAGATGCTTCAGGGCAGGGTTTTTTCCTCCCATTCAGCTTCACATCACAACGAACCACGACACAACGAGCAGGGTGAACCAGCTGCCCACAGCTATTACACTACTATGGAATTTCTCCGTAAGTGCCTGAAGTGCTGTTCACAGGTTTTACCGCACACGTTGTACAGTAGTTCCGTGCAGGCAAGCATTAACAACTGACCATTAACAACTGACTACAATCACAGCTGGGTTTTGCATCCAGCATGGCACCAAACCAAAACATGACAGCAGGCAAACAAGACACGAAGATCCCGCCTGCGCTTGCTGCTGCTCCTCTGAAGAGAGATGCGAGCCCGTTTCTGACATCCCCACGGACAGAGCTCTGCACGTGCCTCCTGGCATCAGCAGACACCAAACGCTGTCGCTCTGAGAAGACTTTGAGATGGCATTGCTACAGAAAGTACTGTCCTGTTGAGGAAATGATGTTGCCCCGTTCTGGTCTTACCAGTCCAGCAGCTGTGCTTCCCAGGAAGGTTATCCTTGGCTTGGCGCCATGAACAACCATTTTATGTGAAAAGGATAACTTTCTCGGAAGTTTTAACAGGTGGGCCTTAATGAAAAGGCAGGAAGGGAAATAAGACATTGAACAGTAACAGTAGTGCAAGGTCTGAAGTGTAACCAGAGTCACTCTGGGGCTCTCCAGTAATGAAAACGACAATCTCAAGCAAAAGGCCACCCATGAGGCAACACATGCCCCACTGCCCTCCAGGTACCAAATGCATTTGATGGAGGGTTCCATGAAACCCCAGTCCAGATCATACTTTGATGCTGCTGCACAGAGAAAGGCTCCCTCTGTTCCTGGTCTCTCATTCAAATGCTATATGCCTTTGCCAATTTACACAACAGGAAAGCAGCTACAGCTTCCCAATTCATGACCAAACTCACACACTTTCTCAGGACACTAGTCCTTTTCTTAAGAAAGTTTACTGAGCCGCCTGATCTAGTGGGGGATGTCCCTGCCCATGGCAGGGGGGTTGGAACTAGATGATCTTCAAGGTCCCTTCCAACCCTGACAATTCTATGATTCTACTCTGAAGAAAAGCCTTGTCCCTGCTCCTTATTTTTACTCCTTATCTGGATCAATTCTTGGCTATCAACACAGAAAAGAAATAAAAACAGAAAGTATTTGCACATCTAGGAAACCAAGAGAAAACTCGGCATCAAACACTGGTGTTAATCACTAAGACAATATTAATAGTTGTGTACTTGCTGTAGCCGTATATATTTATATTTATGCATATATATATGCGTATAGCAGATATACATACACACCCATATAGGCAGAGTGTCTCTTCATACTACTAAAGTAAGCCAACATGTAGGAAAAGACAAGTAGAGCAAAAATATTGCAGTCAAGTGCACTCCCTCCCCCACCGACAAACCACAAGCCTGAGATACCCCTGACCTTTTCTGACACACACCAACAGACCAAAAAAATTATTTCGCTCCTCTCTTTCTCTCCTTAGCTGCTGCAATCAGTCCCTGCACCCAGATCATACCACATCTAAAACCTATTCTCTAAAGAAAAAATGATGCTACCGCCATGCCCCCCACCAACCAGGAATTTACATCTTGTGGGCCAAGAGGAGTCATTTAAGGATGCAAACAGAAACTTGGTGTCCAACTGCTCACACTCTCTGATTCCGAGATTCTGGTGCAAGTATGAGTGTGCTGCTGCTACTCAGAGCTGCTGAAAACTTGCACGATACCAAGTTCATCGCAGGATCAGCACAGACTCAGCGCTGTCTGCTCCTCTCTGGAGCCCTTTGCCCAGCTTCACTGCAGCAGCTGACCACGCCACACGCATTTGGCAGCACTCAGTTATTCTCGTACTTTATGTGGCACAGATTTTAAAATCAGACGATGATTCCGTGATTCTAAATACAAGCTGTGCTTTCACAATCTCGTGCTCTGCCAGCGCTCAAAGCACGTCCCTGCAGCCCGTCCTGCTGATACACCCGTCTAGAAGGGCAGGGATACCCCACTGC